TGTCCTTTGTATTTTGGTCACTGTTTCTTTGGAGGTGCAGAAGCGTCTTAACTAAACACACTCTTTCCATATGATCCTCCCCACTCTCCTCTAGACTCTGGGCTTAATATGTTGAAAACTTTGTATGCACATAAAATTATGCACCATTTTTACAAGCAGCTTTACAAAATCGCTGCAACAATGTATTCTTAAGTAGGCTAATGAATAAACTGTTAAGTTAGGACAAAGAAATATTTGCCAGCTCAAAAAAATGTGCTATCAAGTATTAAAATACAGAGGGAACTCAGGAGTATGTGAAAAGAAGCCAATATAAAATACTAGTGTGTATGATTCCACCTGATGTCCTGGAAAGAGAAAAACTGTGGAGACAGTAAAAATATCAGTGGTTGTCCAGTACAATGGTAAGAGGATGAATAGTCATAACATGGAGAATATTTAGGACTGTGAAAATGTCCTATAGAATTTTAGAATCCTGAACACCATGTATGGTGCCCTGAGTACCAGGAGGGGTCAGTTCTGAGCACGTAGCCACAAATAAACCCTAAACACAGGCAGTGCAGGCCCCCAAACCCAAAGTCACTGTCACTTTTCTCTCGTTGTTCATCGATTTGCTCGAGCGGGCTCAGTAACGTCTCCATTGTGAGACTTGTTGTTACTGTGTTTGGCATATCCAATACATCACAGGTAGCTTGCCAGGCTTTGCCAAGTGGGCGAGATACTCTCGGTAGCTTGTTGGGCTCTCCAAGAGGGGCAGAGGAATCGAATTTGGGTCGGCCATGTTGGTCGCTTGCAAGGCAAACGCCCTACACGCTGTGCTATCGCTTCAGCCCCAAACCCAAGTAAATAATAAAATGGTTTATGCAGCAGATTTAACCTGTATTTCTCCATAATAAAATAACAAAATCCCACATTCATTAGTAGTCACTCTTCATTTCAAGTTCCAAGCAATCACAAATCCACTTTTTTTCTGTATGGCTCTGCCTGTTCTGGATTATTTCATACGAACAGAATGAGAAAATATTTCATGTTTCATCTGTGTAGCATGTTTTAGCGCTTTGACTCCTTTTTAAGGCCAAAAATATTCTCTTGTATGAGGATAACACTTTTTGTGTGCACTTATCATAAAGAAAAAACTTATAAATAATACTACAAACTCTTTCCTTCCCCTTTCCTTTTCCTTTTCCTTTCTTTCTAAAAAACTAGCACAGTCGCGCTTAATCACAGTTGAACATTGGAAAGCCAGAGACAGCGGCTCACTCCCAATAGGCCAGCTGGTTGCCCGGGTAACGAGGGCAGGGCTGGGGTGGGCGGGGCGGGCGCACTGAGCCGATCCCAGCAGCCCTCGCGTCACCAACTCGCCGAAGAGCCGCACTCTGTTCCCGGCTCCAGGCGGCGCGCGACAGGCCACGTTGGGTGGCCGCGGGACTTGGGTGTCGCTAGTCCAGGGGTTGCAGCTGAGAGGGCAACCTTGGTCCGCAGGTGTGAGGCTGAGTTCGCTTCAGTCCGTTCTGCTTCTGAGGTGTTGACTTTTGTTTTTTATTTTTTCATACTGACGCAGCTAGGACTGAAGCCACCACACGCGCCTGTTGAAGAGAACTAACGCTTTCTTGGGTTCTTTAGACTCATAATGACAAGAATTTTATTTTATTTTATTTTTTATGAGGGCGGGCGGGAGGGAAGGCTCAAGGTTATTAACTCCAGCGGGACCCAAGTCAGTAGAATTTTATCCCGGTTCGCTTATTTGAGGCGTTTCCTCAGACTTCCAGAACTTTCCCTTTGCTTCTCCTTCCTTGGAAATGCATGACTTCTCCGAGGGTAACTGCTGCTGAACCCCTGGTTTTCGTCACTTCAAACCTGATGGCGGACTTCCGAGAGCCAGTCAGAGTCAAGATACCCCAAATGAACGAACATTCCCCTAGATTTCCCCCTGGGCTCCCGCGTCCCCGAGGGCACTCATCAGCGGACCCACATTGGAAACCCACTATTGGTGGGACCCTGGGCGTCCCTTATCCCCAGCAATAGCAAACATACGCAAAAGAAAACTTTGAGAACTGTCCTCTAGTAAATCCATGGATATCTAAAGTGTTCTGAGGTGGAAGCGATAGAACTGTGGGTAGAGCGCTTCCCTCTTTGGAGGAGCCTGGTTCTTCCTGGCACCGCCTATGGCCCTCCATGTCCTTCCAGGAGTAATCTCTGAGCATAGACAGAACCAGGAGTAAGCCCTGAGTACAGCCAGATGTGGCCACAAACCGAAAAATAATTAAAATTTAAAATAATTTTTAAAGACTTTTATAATCTGTTTGGGGCTGGAGCGATAGCACAGCAGGCGTTTGCCTTACACGCGGCCAACATGGCCGACCTGAGTTCGATTCCTCCGCCCCTCTCGGAGAGCCCGGCAAGCTACCGAGAGTATTCGATATGCCAGACACAGTAACAACAAAGTCTCCAATGGAGACGTTACTGGGCCCGCTCGAGCAAATCGACGATCAACGGGAGGGCCTTTACCTTTACCTTTATAATCTGTTTAAAAATTCAGGGTTTTAGCTCTGTAAGCACTTGTTTGTGTGAGGGCCTGGATTTAAACCCAACACTGAAAGAAAATAAACCCTCCAATTCTATAATCTGACTAAATCTCATCCCATCATTTTATTTTATTTATTCATCCCTAGAAATCTTATTCCAGTGAAGCACAAACACAGTATCTTAAACGCAACATATAATTTAAGATGACAGATAAACTCTAACTCTCTCTCACATAAGGACAAAGAAAAGAACAATCTAGTTACTTTTTTGGGGAAGTGATTAGAGCAACAAGTAGTAGGGTCTTTCAACCAGTAGTGTAGGTCCCAAAATTGACAGTAAAGTGGAGCTGGGGGTGGGGGGTGAAATTTACTCATATCTTTAAAAATTGTTTTCCTCCTCTTTTAGGTCTCCTCTCATAAATATAATTTTACTCATAAAGTTGATGAATTCTACCTCTAAAGTAGATTTTTCACTTCTCTATGACCTCCATTGTCTTCAATAAAAACGTACTGATTACTCCATGGCTTTGAGGCCAGCCGCACATGCTAGGGGAAAGGTAGCTCAGATAGAGAAGGGAGCACCAAATAAAGGGTGTTGGGAGGTTCCTCCCAGGATGGGAGATGCGTGATGAGAGTAGACTATAGACCGAACATGATTGCCACTCAATGTCTCTTTTGCAAACCACGGCACTCAAAAGGAGAGAGATAACGGAGGGGAATGCCCTGCCACAGAGGTAGGGTGGGATGGGCGGGATGGGAAGTGGGAGGGATACTGGGATCAGTGGTGGTGGAGAATGGGTACTGGTGGAGGGATGGGTATTCGATCATTGTATAATTGGAACCCAAGTACAAAAATTTGTAAGTCTACAACTGTACCTCATGGTGTTTCACTAATAAAAATTTTTGAAAAAATATACTGAATAGAAAAATTCTGACCACTAAACAAGGATAATGTCAAATATTGAGAACTGTTTCATATGTATTGGTCCTTTCATATTTTAAAGTATGTTAATAATCTGTAGTACATAAATTGCATTTTAAGTTTTTATGTATCTCTTAAAATGTTTTTACTGTATGCTATATGAACAATAAGAAACACATTTTCCTCATAAAATTTCCCCCAAAGCCTGGCAAAGTATGATATCAACTTAATAGTAGATTCCCAATAAATATTCAATAATGTTTTGGCCATTTCTACTTCTCTAAATTAAAAATTCTTCAAAACCAGGATCTTAATCATTTTATCCCTACAACTTAATGTAATTATTGATGTTATTATTTTCAATTAGTATTGTGTTCACTCTTTTTAAATGAAGACAGAGTATTATATGTATTTAGTGATTTAGGCTTGTTTAGGTTTTGTTTTGTTTTGTTTTTTGGTAGGGGGACATACCTGGAGTGCTCAGGGATCACTCCATTTCTCTAGCAGGGCTTACAGGACCATATGAAATGCCGGAAATTGAACCCAAGTCAGTCCTGTGCAAGCCAAGCTCTCTACCCACTGTACTATCTCTCCAACTCCAATTTAGTATTTTATGATAATCTATAATAAAGATTTAAAGTGAGAAGAGGCATTCTCTTCAAATTCAACCCCACATTTTCTATAGAGAAAGATAGTGAGTCAAAGGAGGATCAAGTTATTTCTCGCATAACAATTAGGAAATACTTCGTTAAGACCCAAGTTTTCGTATTTCTTAGATTACGCTTTGCTACTACTTAGATTGAATTATAGAGTTATAAAACAACTTACCACTTTTTTAATATCTGCACCTATAAGGCAACTTCATCATCTAATATTTTCAACATGCTTTTTAGGGAGTATCTTTCAGGCTCCTGTTCTTAAATTTGTAGTTTCGTGAAAAAAAAACCTCACATAATCTAGTGTGGATTCTTTTTTTATATAAAAAGACAATTTTTTCCCTCCGCTAGAATATGGTTTTGTTTTGTTTTGATTGTCTGAAGGTTTCAGGAATCAAATGTAGAGTTTCATATGCAAGGCAAATGTTCTTTAACCGAACGACAATTTCAGCCCCCTAGTCCGTTTTTTCCTTTGAGGGGAGTGTCTCAACTGGTTCTCAGGAGTCTCAGGGTCTCATCTGGCAATTCTAGGTTAGCTGGGCTAGTGGTTCAATGGGAGGGTCTAAGGATGCATTGCTGCACAGGATCTACTGTGCTAGGGGTTAGCCAGAGCAGCTGTGCTTAGGGGGAGATGGACATTCTAGAGTTGTAACAAGTGGTATGCGGAAGTTTCCAGATTTACATGCTCTGAGGGGCATTGGGACATGAGGGTTGAATTCAGGTTAGCTTGCATGCAAAGTTAGCCTCTGTACTCTCTTTGGACCCTAATCTTTTTAACCTTTAATTTTTACCTAGTTTTTTTTCACTCGGTTTTAATAACATAAAATTATCAGAGGTCTTGAAGGTCTTTAGTAGAGGTCTTAAAATGTAAATTTGAATTTATTTGTAGGCTTTCTCATCTTTTCTATGAATTTCAACCTCTTTGAAATTTTACCAGCAACTGTGATTTAATCAGTGACTGATAGAGACAAATTATTAACTAGGAGAAAATGTCAAATCTGAAAATGAAAGAAGCAGCACTTATTTACCTTGACCGAAGTGGAGGTCTCCAAAAATTTATAGATGATTGCAAGTACTACAATGGTATGTTTGACAACACTCATTTTATTTTAGAAACCTTAAAATAAATTCCTGTAGCACTGTAGCACTGTCCTCCCCTTGTTCATAGATTTGCTCGAGTGGGCACCAGTAACATCTCCATTGTGAGACTTGTTATTGTTTTTGGCATATCGAATACATCATGGGTAGCTTGCCAGGCTTTGCCATGAGGGGAGATACTCTTGATAGCTTGCTGGGCTCTCCGAGAGGGGCAGAGGAATCGAACCCGGGTCAGCCGCGTGCAAGGTAAAATGCCCTACCCACTCTTCTACAGATCAAGCCCTACCTATGATTCCTACATAAATTCCTACATATGATTATTTGTTTATTTTTATAGATTCAAAACAAAGTTATGCTGTCTATCGATTCAATATTTTGATAAATCCCTCTGATATTGTTGAATTAGATGCTGAACTTGGAAATCACATTTTACACCAGCCTTTACAAGCTGTTCAAGTTTTTCAATCAGTAAGTTACAGAAAGAAAGAATTTTATGCTACCTGGAATTTTTACTAATATTTTGCTTTGTTTAAATTGCAGGTCTGTTTTATTGCTGTTAAAACTCTCTCATTAATTGGACAGTTGCAAACTGAAACCCAAGTAAGTTTTTCATTAAATTTAGCAAAGAAAACTAAGGTGAAATACTTTCAAGATTACTTATTACTATTTTTACACTCACACTTTTTTTTGTCTATTAAAAAAGGTGTTTTTTTCAGTATTTATTACATACACATCTTTATTTCTTATGTTCTCGTAATATTAAGCATTTTTATAACTTTCAAGATTACTTATTACTATTTTTACACTCACACTTTTTTTTGTCTATTAAAAAAGGTGTTTTTTTCAGTATTTATTACATACACATCTTTATTTCTTATGTTCTCGTAATATTAAGCATTTTTATAACAAATCATTTCAGCCCACAAATAAAGAGAATTATACAGTGAACTACCATACTTATATAACTCAGATGAAATAATTTAAAATATTTTGCTATCTGAATCATTACTTTTTTTGACGTATTCTATCCTCTGATAGAAATAATGATAGAAATAATATTATAAATAATTACAAACAAAACCTAGGGGCTAGAGAGATAGTACAATGAGTAAGGCCTTGCACACAACTGACCCAGGTTTAATCCCCAGCATTGTATATGGCCCCCTGAGCCGGCCAGGAGTAATTCCTGGGTGCAGAGCCAGGAATTACCCCTGAGCACCACTGGGTATGGACCAAAAAACTGAAAAAAGAAAATAAAACCCAAATCCTAGACTTTTCTGTTGTTTTTGGGTTGCACCCAGAAGTATTCGGGAATTATATGGTACCTAAGATCAGACTGGAACTCATGCATGCAAAGTGCACACTCCAGCCCTTTGAGCTGTCACCCCAGCTGTATTTCTTTAATTGTATTTTTAATACTTAAAATATTGGTTGCTAATAACATTAACACATCATTTGCATGATTTTTCCAAGAAATGTGCATACTATATTGAAACACAAATCCAACTATGTCTGCAATTTTTAATACCATTTTATGCTCTCATTAGATTAATATAGTGTTGAAGTTAACACATTTACCTCATCTGCCAAGTTATAATCTTGATCTGTGTGAATTTCCACTTGATTATTCATCTCAACGGTTTTATATGATGCAAGGAATTGTGGTTGCGATGACAACTGTAACCAAGTATACACAAGGTGCAAAATTTCTTTGTTCAGATGATGCATGCCCTCTTTCAAAAGGTAAATATTAAAATGTAAAATAAAATATTAAGAACTGTGTTGTTTAATCCTAAATTTTGTTTGTAATTATTTATGATATTATTTCTATCGTTATTTATTCTATTATTTCTAACAGAGGATAGAAATAATCACAGGATAGAAATAATGACATAAAATTTTATATCTCCTAATTTTATAAGTTTCATAATCTTGAAATGCATTTTTTCTACCACTTTCTCCAATTTATAGGTGCTCTGCTGATTTAATTATTCTTCTTTGGGTTTTGGTCCATACCCTGGGGAGTGTAGAAGCTATTCTTAGCTTTTTGTTCAAGCAGGTAGTCACACCTGGCTGTGCTCAGAGAACCATGAGGTCACTGGGAAAAAACCTCCCCTCATGAAAAGCAAGTGCTTCAGCCAATTCAGCTATCTCTTAAGCCCATTGCTTGTTATTCTTACATATTAGTTATGGTCATTCTATCCTCCTCTCCATGTTATATCTTTTCTCAACCTTTTTGTTTAATTTCAGTCCAGATATTTTCCGAGTCATCTTTTCCATTAACCTCCACCTCTTACTGGGTTGGATTGTCCATTTTATCTTCTCTCTATGCTCTGAAAATCAATACCACTTGTTAAAATTATCTTCTTTCTATTGTCACTTGAAAATGTATACTTAAATATCTATATTACCAATGTCTTAGTATAATGCCTGGGAAGAAATAGCCAAGCAGCAAGATATCGTTTTGAAAAAACTAATTTATTGAAGTTGGACTAAAGTTAAGAGACAAAAAAAGAAATTGTCAAGAAATACATATACATTGAACTTCTGTGAACCCAAAAGCAAAAACTGAATTAATTATTCTTTGAACTAGCTTCACTGTCACTCTCACTGTCCTCCCGTTGTTCATTGATTTGCTCGAGTGGGCCCAGTAACGTCTCCACTGTGACACTTGTTACTGTGTTTGGCATATCGAATACATCATGGGTAGCTTGCCAGGCTTTGCCATAATGGCAAGATATGGCAAGATATGGCATGTGGGGTGCTCCGAGAGGGGCGGAGGAATCGAACCTGGGTCAGTTGGGTCGGCCACGTGCAAGGCAAATGCCCTACCCGCTGTGCTATCACTCCAACCCTGAACTAGATTAATTTTTAAATGAAATTTTAGATGAAAAGTGAAACCTGAAAGCAAATTTAGCTTAACTGTTTTCTTTCAGGATTTCAATATATAAGAGTGCATGTGCCTGGTGCTACAGAATCTACAACAGTAAGAAATGATTTCTTCTGTAGTCTGTGTGATTCTTCTCTACTGGAAGACAGAAAATTCAGAGTACTTGGTGGTAAAATGTATTTACATTTCATAATTACAATTTTTAAAGTACTGATTTTTGGAGGGTCTACATCTGACAGATCTCAGTGGTTACCCTTGGTTCTATGTTCAGGGGTTGTGCTGGCAATGCTTAGAGAAACATGTACCAGACACTGAATCTGGACCTTCTGCATGCAAAGTTTGCAATCCAGACCATTGACATCTCTCCTAGCCTTATGTTTTAAAGTAATATTTACATATATTTAAAAATAGGAATTATATGTATATTCTAATAACTAATTCTCACTCTTTGCCTTAAGATAAACAAATAGTTGAAATAATTTCTACTAAGGCACTTCATGCTTTCCAGCGATACTCTAACCACCAACCATTTAGGTTTCAATGTCTTACAATTTTCCTTAGAGGTAAGTAGATTCTGTTTGAACTCAAAGCAAATTATCATACAATTTGTAATTTACTTGTTCCTCTTATGTAATATGAATGATACTTACATAGCTTAAGGCTTTGTTTGTTTGTTTGTTTGTTTGTTTTAGGGCCACACCAGACAATGCTCAGGGATTAACTCCTGATTCTGCACTCAGGAATTAATCCCAGTGGTGCTCAAGGAACCATATGGGATTCCAGGGATTGAACCAGGTTCCGCTGCATGCAAGACAAACACCCTACCTGTTGTACTATCTCTTGGTCCCTATAACTTAAGAGTTATTAAGGGTCTTCTATTCTTCAGTGTTGTGAAAGAATTATATTTAGCTAATGTATCAACTCTTTCACTTTATACAACTTTTAATTAAAACCATCAGTACCTGTTATGTCCCAAGAACTTTGCTAAATCCTGGGATCATAATTATTTATAGAAATGATTTTATTTATCTTATGTATAAGTATTATACAAAATTTGAAGTTATAGTTTTAGAATGTTCTTGGATATGGACTTTAATTTCTTTACTGTATATAGTGAAACCTTAATTAATATTAGTTAAATAAATGAAACAGACTACAGAGATTACTCAAAGGACTGAACATATGTTTTGCATGCAGGAGATCTGGGTTCAGTTCCCTACATCACATGGTCTCCTGAGCAGCACCAGTAGCAACCTAGAGCACAGAGACAGAAGTAGCCTTTGAGCACCTCTCTAAAACAAAAAAACAAATAAGATTGACATATTAATTGTTGAAAAATTCATGGGTAAATACCTGTGAGTACACAAGAGTCTGCTATGAAGAAGGAAATCCTTATCAACCTGAGCCATCCAGGAAAAGATGAATCTTCATTGAGAAAATAGAATTAAGAAATGAAAATTAAAAAGCAAATCAAAACAATGAGATATCATCTCACACCATTGATACTGGCACACATCATGAACAAAACAACCAGTACTGCAGTGGAAGTGGAGGAAAGGGGACCCTCATTTATTTTGTTAGTTGTTTCAGTGCACAGCAGGTTCACTTCTGGTAGTACTAGGAAAGGGGAAATCCATGTGGTAGTAGGAATCAAACTCAGGGCCTCAAATATGTAAGTCATATGCTTGAGCCACATTCCTGGTCCCCCAGATAAATGCTTTTTAATTAAATTAATAGGGCTGGGAATGTAGCTCAATTCATCTTTTATGTGTGAGGTCCTGCGCTCAATACCCAGCTACACATACACACACACACACAAAAAAAAAAAGAAAGAAAATAGAAGCAAAATTTGGGGTGTTGACATCAGAAGAGATACTGGCCTTCCCATCTCTTGTCTTCATTTTGATCTTTTCTTGACATTGGGAACATCTCTCAAACATGGAACCACTGAAGAAGTATTGATTTTGGGATCAAAGTGATAGTACACTGGGTAGGACACTTACGTTGTGGCCGACTCAGGTTTGATCTTCAGTATCCCACATGGTCCTTTGAGCACTGCCAGAAGGGATTTCTGAGTGTAGAGCCAGGAATAAGCCCTGAGTACTTCTGGTTGTGGTCCCAAAACAAAAACAAAAAAAGAAAAACTGTTGATTTGGAGAGAATATGTTTTGTTTTATTTCTTCCTAATAATTAATTATGTATATTTTAGTTGATTTTTTTGTTGTTGATTAGATCATTTTGAGTTTTCTTGTTTGCTTTGTTTTCTCTCAAGTTTTAGCTTGATTCATCCCTTTAAGGTCTGTATGCTCTCTAAAACTAAAAATATTTTAAGAGTGGGCCAGAGCAAACCACAACACCCAAAAGGAGAGAGAGAACAAAAGGGAATACCCTGGCACAGAGGCAGGGTGGGATGGTGGGATGGGGGGTGGGAGGGATACTGGGACCCATGGTGGTGGAAAATGGGCACCGGTGGAGGGATGGGTGTTTGATCATTGTACAATTGAAACCCAAGCACAAACTTTGTAAATCTACAACTGTACCTCATGGTGTTTCACTAACAAAAATTTTTAAAAAAATGTAAATGATGGAGAATGGGGACTGGTGGAGGGATGGGTACTGGATCATTGTATAAATGAAACCCAAGCACAAAAATTTGTAAGTCTACAACTGTACCTCATGGTGTTTCACTAATAAAAATATAAAAAAATCAAAAAAGAACATGGGGAATAAATGTGGAATATTCTTCTGAAATTTAAAAGAGAAAAAAATAACCAGTAAATTCTTGGTAATTAAAAGCTCAGCATTACATGTGAATAAAAAAAAAAAAGTGGGCCAGAGCAATAGTACAGGAGATAGGACGCATGTCTTGTATATGGCCAACCCAGATTCGATCCTCAGCATCCCAAGACCCACTGGGAGTGATCCTTGAACACAGAGACTAGATTAAGCCCTGATCACTGCTAGGAGTGACATCCCAAAATAAATAAATAAATGTTTGAGAGAGTATAAGATTGCTGTGATAGTCTTGCTCTCTGTTGTAAACTTCTACAACCACCAAACAACCACCAAACTTCTGCCCTCTGTACAGTGGAAGAAAAATATTTTTATTGTATCTGTGGTGAGGTCAGGGTGGGGTTAAGGAGAGGGAGGCATCTCCCTAGTAGTACTTGGTTTGGGAACCACTCCCTGTTGTGCAGGCCCACATCTGGTTCAGTAATTCAATGCTAGAGGCCTTACCTGGCAGAATTCAGGGGGACATATGATACCAGGGATTGAATTTAGGAATTTATGTTCTGCCCCTTTGGGATATCTCCCAGTCCCAAGTGAATGTTTTGGGGTTTTGTTTATTTTGGGGGCCATACTGGCTGGTGCTCAGGGCTTATTCCTGATCTGCACTCAGGGATTACTCCTGAAGGCACTAAAGGGATCATGCCTTGTAGGAGGTCAAAGCTGGGTCAGCTTCATTCAAGGCAAGCCCACTGTATTTTCTCTCAGTTCTCTAATTGTGTGTTTGAACTTGTGCAAAAGTTTGTGCATAAACTTTGAACTTGCGCAAAACCTTTATGATGCAATATATAATACAGTAGAATAGACTTTGAAGATACACAGACCTGGTTGTGTGTTTGAGTTCTGTAACACACTCTTTAGCCTTGGTAAAGTCATTTAGCATCTTGTTTCTTTGTATATTACACGTGGATAACAGGGTTCAGAGACATAATAGCACTGTAGCACTGTCCTTCTGTTGTTCATCGATTTGTTCGAGCGGGCACCAGTAATGTCTCACAACAAACCGTGAAACTTGTTGTTACTGTTTTTGGCATATCGAATATGTCACGGGTAGCTTGCCAGACTTTGCTGTGCTGGCAAGATACTCTTGGTAGCTTGCTGGACTCTTGAGAGGGGCGGAGGAATCGAACCTGGGTCGGCCACGTGCAAGGCAAACGCCCTACCCGCTGTGCTATCGCTCCAGCCCCAGAGACATAATATAAGGATTAAAGGGTTTTCCTTGCATGAAACTGAATCTAATTCTGTCCCTGCCACTTCATGTGGTCCCCAAGCACTGCTAGGAGTGATCCATAAGCACAGATCCAGAAGTAAGCTCTGAGCACAGATGTATGTGGACAAAATAATAATAATAATAATAATAATAATAATAATAATAATAATAATATAGGGGTCAAAAGTTTCAGCAAGATAGTACAGGGAATGAATTGCTTGTGTTGTATTTGGCTGACCCAGGTTTGATCACTGGCTCTGTGAAGCTTCCCCAAGTACTGACAGGAGTGATCCCTGAGCACAGAACCAGGAGTAATCTAATCTCTGAATATGGATGGTGGATCAACCCACTCCCAAATAAAGTAAAATAAGTATAAATATGTACCTTACAGATAATGTGTGTAAAGGTGCCTTGACTTAGTGTGCCCTCTCCAATATGCTAGCACTAAGACCAAGTATGCTTGCCTGTCTGGATATTGCAATGGTAACAAAGAAAAGTTTTATAGTCAGAGACTATAAAACCCAGCTCCCGGAAGCGCGTGGCCACATTCGCGGCCGTGCTACATCTTATTAGCTCATTCTTACTTTGGACAACCTGGCAGGCTACCAAATGTGACCTGCCCACATGGCAGAGTCTGGCAAACTCCTCGTGGTGTACCCAATATGCCAAATACCAGTAACAATGATGGGTCTCGTTCTCCTAACCCTGAAAGAGCCTTGAATATGGCACTTTTTAAAATCTCAGGGCTAGGGCGAAGGAGACGTTACTGGTGCCTGCTTGAGGCAATCGACAAACAACAGGATGATCGTCATGGTGATCGTGAACAAAGAAAGGGGTAGGGGTTCTTTAATGTAACCTGTGAATAATACTTTTTCAAATTATTTTCTTTCCAAATAAAAGTATTACTTATATAAGTAATAGATATTGCTTATGTTATTTTTATTAGCATTTCTTATCATCACTGTCTCTATCACTCCGTTGTTCTTCAATTTGCTTGAGCGGGCCCAGTAACGTCTCCATTCGTCCCTGTCACGTGCAAGTGTAGCCCGATGACATATTGGAGGCTCCTTCAGGGTCAGGGGAATGAGGATCATTCATTGTTACTGTTTTTGATATATCGAGTATGCCACGGGTAGCTTGTCAGGCTCTGCTGTGCAGGCAGAATACTCCCGGTAGCTTGCCGGGCTCTCCGAGATGGATGGAGGCTTTTGGGGTAGCCCTCTAATCACCTTTATAGGTGTTCCTAGTCAGGCATATAGGTGGGTATGATACTCTCAGTAGCCTGCCGGTTCTCTGAGAGTGAGAACTAGAGAATAAGAGGTCTGGGAGCTTGGTTTTAGAGTCTCTGGATGACCGTTGATGGGGTTACACGGCAGTTGGTGGGTGTAACTGTCTAGCTACTGGAAGTTGGGGGAGCTGGGTGGAGGAGGCCCAGTCCTGAACCAAGCAGGCTTGGGGATCTCAGCCACGGTCCCGCCCACCTGGGTTCCTCTGCCGGTTCCTCATCCAAGCGTGTAAAGAGTGTCTCAGCATGGCTGAGTCTTTGGCTGGGTCCCGGAGTTCTTCAGTTGTCGGGGCTCTGCTTATCATATAATACAAAAATGTTTTGTCTCATATAGAATGGTCATCTTTTACCTTTTGGCTATAAAAGACTAGTTACTTTATCACATACTTCTTATAGTTAATTCATCATGGCGTATAAATATCAGTTTATCAGCCATGCCTGGCAAGCTACCCATGATGTATTCAATATGCCAAACACAGTAACAACAAATCTCAAAATGGAGACATTACTGGGCCCGCTCGAGCAAATCAATGAATGATGGGAGGACAGACAATGGACAAATATTGCCTCAATTTGCACTCGTGTCACCCTACCTAGATATTATACTGAGAAGTAAATACTTTCTATTAACTGAACTATTGAATTGTAACAAGAGTTAAAATGTATGAGTCATATGCTAATATAAAGTTTTATTTATTAAATATTTTTGTATTCAATAATTTTAGATGAATCAGTGAATGAAATGAATATAGGACATGAGTATAAAATCATTGGAATTCCAACTTGTGTGAAAACCAAACAAACTTCTGTCTGTATAGAGGCAAATAGCATCACTTTATGCAGTCCAAAAGGTAAGGAAAATATTAACTTCAAACACTGGCAGATATTTTAATTAAAATACATTTGTTCAGAAAACATTAGCTGCCTAAATTTTAAATGGTGAGTGAGGATTGCAACTGACAACAAATCTATGTGGATACACAGGGCAACTGATTCCTTTTATTACATTACCTAGGATATAAATGATAGACCAGAGCCTATCTAAATCTAATTTATTATCATAAGAGTTTAAAAACAGCATCAGTAAATGAACTGTAATTTTTAAAATGCTTTTATAAATATCTAAATTTTAATATCTGTGCCCTACCAAATTTACTATTTATAAAGACATTTTCTTATTGTAACCCCCCTTTTTTTTAACATCTGTGTTAATATTTACTTTCAGTTCCTTCCGGAATTAGTGACAATTTCAGGTGTCTTCTCTCTTTGACTGCCAGTTCATGCTGGAAGTTTACAGCAATACTTGCCAATATCTTTGCATCACAAATCATTCCTCCTGGGACTTACAATTTACTCAAGTTGTGTTTGCTGATGAGTCTAGTACTGACAAATGACTGTAACAAGGAACTGCAAAGTTTTCTGGATATTTTAATTATAACAAGTGATACTCTACTTATAGACAGGTAACATGATATTTTTTCAAATTTTAAGTTGGTAAAACAGACTTGAATGAATCATTTCTATGAACATTATTACAAGATAATTATTTGAAATTTAGTCAAGCAGAATAATATTTAAATAAACTTTAATCTTGGGTTTAAACTTACTAAACATTATTTGAAAAATGAAGTCCTTTTTTTCATTGTTTGAAAATCTAACCAACCCTAGTTTCAACATATTTAGTCATCTCAGATTTTATAAATAAGTGCCTTATTCAAAGACTTATTGACCCTCATTACTTCGAACATGTTTAGATTTGTTGTTTTCATTTTCTTTTATTTATTTTGTTTGTGTGGTATCAGGGATCAAACCTAGTGTCTCACACATGCAAGGTAAGTGCTCTAACACTGAGCCACATTGTAAACTCCTTTGTTTTCATTTTAAAATGATCTCCTCATTAAGAGACTACAGTCTTTTTTTCTTTTCCTCCAAGATTCCAGTCAATAATACTGATTCATGGGACCGGAGAACACACCTTGCATGAAGCCAGTCTGTTTCAATCTGTGGCACCACCTGGTCCTCTGAGCATCACTCTGTGTTCTGTATCTTAGATGTCCCCAATCACGGCCAGGGTGATGTAAACCTATGGGAACTCTTTTCTGTTATTTTGTTTTCCTTTTAGGTCACACCCGGTAGTGCTCAGGGGCTACTCTGAGGTCAGTGCTTGAGGTTCACTCCTGGCAATGCTAAGAGGACTTTGCAAAGGGATTGAACTCTGATCTCAAAGCAAGCACCTAGCCCACTGAGTAATCTCTCTAGCCTGTTCTTTTCTGTTATTTTGGCCTATTTGTCTATAATTCTGCCAATATCACATGCTCTTGACTACTGTAACTGTATGCTAAATTTAAAATCAAGTGTTACAGTTTTATTCATTTTCTTTATCTTTTACTATTTTGAATACTTTAAATGTTCTTTTAAGTTCAGAATCTATTAATGCCACTCTTCTGTCCATACACCCAGAAATTCTTAAAGGGTTTTGATTGGGACTGATATCTAATTTATAATTAAAATTTGGGTAAAATTTACAATTTAACAATGTTGAGTCTTTTGATCCATAAATATATTTATTTCTATCTTCCTTAATTTTTCTCAGCAATGTTTTATGAAAATCCTGCACATATTTTGTGATTTATTTCTAAAAATTTTGTATTTTTGTTATTAAAAATGGTAGTTTAATAATTTTATTTTTTAAGTATTTACTTCAAATATATGGAAATTCAAACTTTATATTTTTGACCATGGTTCTGTGATCTTGTGTCATTTAAAATTTGGGGGAGGTCTACATCTGCCAACTCAGGGCTTATTCCTGGCTCTACACTCAGGACTCACTCCTGATGGTGCTCAGGAGACCGTATGTGGTACCAGGGATTGAACCCAGATTGGTCGTATGCAAGGCAAGCAACCTTACCTGCTGTTCCAGCCCTAAAAAAAAATTTTTCAGTTTAATATATAACCAGGTTTGTATCGTGTTGTTCAATACATGACGAGGTTTTCAGTTTGACTGTAGAATCACCAGGGAGAATTTTTAAATTTATTTTTATTCCACCTCTAATTTACATGGTTAGGATTGGACTTGGTATTGATTTTTTCAAAACTGTCTAGATTTTTTATCTTATGGGGTTCACATCTAATGATACTAGAAGAGCGGGTCATATGGTGTCAGGGGCTAGAACCCAGTGCCTCACATATGCTTGAAATATATTCTACCACTTGAACTATATTCTCCACTTTTCTCTCGGTGATTTTAAGTTGGGCTATATTTAAAGACCACTCCTTTATTGACTTGCAAATATTTCTAAGTCTTCCATTTTTTTATATCTTCAAACTAGTGTTGAAATTCCTTAGGAAGTTATATACACTAGACATTTTATAACTTTTACCTATCCACATATAAGGATTAACAGTTTGTGTAGCTGTTAACACATCATGGCTCCTGAAAATAAATATTGGAATACTAACAATAATATTTTGTTGTTTTTTCCCCTCCTAGGCTTTTGAATTTTAGTATAAACCTTGTGCCCCGTGGCATATGTCATCCAGTCTCTGCTGAAATGTTCCCTACAGTGGCCAGTAATAAATATGGAACTGGAGCAGGTAGCATTCAAGCTGGTAGTGCTTTGCTAGCAAAAGGTGGTATCTGCTTTATAGGAGATTTGGCTTCACACAAAAAAGATAAGCTTGAACAACTTCAATCAGGTAAACAAATTTTTTCAAATAAATTTTACTTATTTATAGTCTCATCAGCATCAAAAAGTTATTTAACAGTTGATATTGCAACACATTTTAACAATTGAAAAATTAAATAATTCCTTTTTTCCTTTTTATAATTAAAAACATGAATTTAACATCAAATGAATCATTTAAACTTTGTTCAGAATTGTGCTAGTACATGAGCTTGTTTTGAGCTAGATTTATTTCCTTTCTTACTATATTAACTAGAATATTTCCAGTAAAATTTTAAATGTGTGGTTTGTTTTGTTTGGTTGGCTTGGGGATGACCCAAAATGGTGCTCTGGGACTATTCCTGATTCTGTGCTCAGTATCATGTCTGGTGGTGTTCAGGGGACGGTATGTGTGTGGGGATTGAACCAGGCTTAGTGGAAGTGGCTGCATGCAAGGCAAGTGTTTTATCCCCATACTGTCTCTCTGGTCCCCAAAATAGTTTTGAAGATCATTGGTGAGAAGGGATTTTCTTATATTATTCCTGATCTAGCAAAAAAAATTGCAGGCTTTTTACTACCAAATGGGTTGGAGCGGTAGCACAGTGGTAGGGTGTTTGCCTTACAAGCGGCCAACATGGCCAACCCGAGTTCAATTCCTCCGTCCCTCTCGGAGAGCCCAGCAATCTACCGAGAGTATCTCGCCCACACAGCAGAGCCTGGCAAGCTACCCGTGAGGTATTCAATATGCCAAACACAGTAACAAGTCTCATGATGGAGACGTTACTGGGCCTGCTCGAGCAAATCGATGAACAACAGGAGGACCATGAATTATTATTTACTACCAAATATGTTTTAGAGTTTTTGTGTTACTTATGTATTTATCTATTTATTTTTTTATTTTTTTTGTAGGAGTACTGCTATTTATTCAGCCACTGATTAGCTGATTGAATTGTGCATGAACTCCACCTTACTTTTTTTTTTCATTTTTTATAATTTTATTTATTGAATCACTGTGAGAGCAGTTACAAAGCTTTTGGGTCTAAGACTCAGTCATACAATGAAACGCCCGTACCTTCACCAGTGCCCATTTTCCACCACCAAAAACCCCAGTATACCCCCATCCCACACCCTCCCCCTACCTGTGGGGCAGATGATTTCCACATTACTCTCTCTACTTTGATCACATTTAATATTTCGACACCAGACCCACCATTATTATTTGAGATTTTACCCCAACACTCAGGTCTGCTTAAAAGGCAACAGTAGACAATTTGTTTTCTATTGCTGGTTATGAATAACATATGATGTCGCATGGCTGTAGTAAGGCCATGTGGTTTTGAAATTCCGAAATTTTAACACTTAAATCTGGAGGGATTTCTGCCAAAAGCCACTGGGTTTCGAGATCTGCTCCTGAGTCTCTGGGATGATGGCCGTTGAGCAGCTTGGTGAGGAGCCAGAGAGGCCGTTCGTGGGCGGTGACTTGGGGTCTCGTTGGGGTGGGGAGGACAGGCCCGGCTCCCCACCCCCATCCCGTGAGGCCCAACTGAAAAAAGAGATTGTTGATAAGATGTGTGCATATCAAGAGTAAAATAAACAGAACTGGAGCAATAGCACAGTAGGTAGGGCGTTTGCCTTGCACGCAGCCAACCTGGGTTCAATTCCAAGCATCCCATATGGTCCCCTGAGCACTGCCAGGAGTAACTCCTGAGTGCATAAGCCAGGAGTAACCCCTGTACATTGCCAGGTGTGCCCCCCCCCCAAAAAAAAGAAAATAAATAAATAAATTTTTTAAAAAAGAATAAAATAAACAGCTTTCTGCAGCATTTCTGTTGTTCTGGTAAAAACAAAATATATGTATTCTCCATTCCCTTTTTTTGACAGTGCCAGGGATCAAACTTCAGTCTCGGCCATGCAAAGTATGTGCTTTACCTCTGAGCTGTATACCCCTGTTCCTATTGTATGTGTATGTGTATGTGTATGTGTATGTGTATGTGTGTATATGTTTGTGTGTGTGTACACACCTGAATATATATAGGTATTAGCTACAAAATACTTGTGATTTCACTTGTGATTTAAGTGCTGATATATTTGCATTTAAGACTGTTATTGTATAATATAAGATACATGATAGAAATCATGACAATAATCAAAGTTTTTAATTGGAACAGCAATTACTTGTACATTTTTGGTAACAGTTTTATTGAGATATAATTTGCATACCACACAGTTATCAATTTAAGATATACCGTTTAGGGGCCCTGGATGTGTTTCAGTGATAGAGTGCCTGCCTTGTGAGTTTGGTTCCCAGCACTACCTCACATATGGAGTTTAGTCTTGGTTAGTGATGCCAGTGCCACAACAAAATGATGTGACATCTGGAGCACTGCATCAAAGTGTGCTTGAGTTCACATCTTGTAAGAGTCATCCCTGGCCATTGCAGCAACAATGACTTCACTTCACTTAATCACTTAACTTCCCGTTAGTCGTCGATTTGCTTGAGCGGGCGCCAGTAACGTCTCCATTTGTCCCTGTCGCGTGCTAGTGTAGCCCAATGGCATCTGTTCGCTCCGGGAACATGAAGAGAAATAGCTTAGAGAGCTAGAATGCAGGATCAGAGAAATATGACAGAGGTTATGGCACTTGCCTTGCATGTGACTGACCCGAGTTCTAGTCCTTCGCACCATGTGATCCCCAGAGCACTGCCAAGAAAGGGTCCCAAGTACAGAGCAGGGAGAAGCCCCTAGAACTACTGAGTGTGACCCCAAACTTTCAAAAAAAGAGCAAGGAATCCTCAGTTTGACACATCCCTGCCCCCTTGCCCTGTCCTCCCCCACTCTCAACTGCACTGTCCCAGAGCACCATTGATCATGATCCCCAGGCACTGAGCCAGAAGTAGCTCCAGAGCACCAACAAGTATGACCCCACAAACAGAAAAAAAAAAAAAGGAAAATGGAAAAGACTCAGTGGTAGAGCACATATCTCATATGCATCATACCTGGGTTGGATCCCAGGCACCAAATTAACCATTAATTAATTAAAATGATGTATTTGTTGGGGCTGTAGTGATAGTTTTTACAGTGGGTAGGATGCCTATCTTGAACATGTCTGACCTGGAGTCAATTTCCAGTATCCCATCTAATCTCCCAAGCACTGCCTGGAGTAATTCCAGAGCGTAGAGCAGGAGTAACCCCTGAGCATTGCCATGTGTGGTCCAAACACCAAAGCGGGGGGGGGGGGGCGGGAGGGGAAGATTTATTTACTTGGTATGAAATGTAAAGTTTAGTGGTTTTTAAGTGTCAACCACTTAAAAAGTCATTTATCTATTGATGGACACAGGTAATTCCTACATTTTCTCTATTGTGAATAGCATTGCAATTAACATTGGTTTACAAGTATTTGTATCTCTGCTTTCAACACTATTGGGTGTACACCTAGAAGTAGAACTGCTGAATCATAAGGTAATTCTATGTTTCACTTTTATAAGAACCGGTAAATGGTTTTTCTATGGCAGTTTCGTCTTTTATATTCTCACAACTAAAGCTAAAGAGCTTGAAAATTCTCACACCACCCATATCATATTTTTAAAGTAATAATATGTTCTTCATAGGAAAAACTACATAACCATACTCATAACAGCAGATATTTTGCCCTGATTTTGGAATAAATGATTCAAATTTTCATTTTACACTGTGTTTCATTTTACATTGTGACACCTGTAGTTCGATATCTGGCAGTACAAAGTATTAATTAATTAAAATATAAAGATTGACATTAGATGTTGCCTTGATGTGGAGAAACTGAAAATTCTTGTTAACAGGATTATAAAATGGTACTACCATTTTGCAAGCTGCTCTTGTGGTTTCTATAGAATTAAATATATATATTTGCCTTATATTTAAATAGAGTAGAATCAAATATATTTGCCAAATATATAGTTTGGGGTCCTGGATTAAAAGAGAAAGATCAAACATAAATACAAGAGGCTTATCATTAAAGCAATAATTATTAGAACTAATTTCACAAATTATTTGGCATACAGAGTCCTAGAAATAGGATTAAATCTTAAATCTGATGACTATAAGGGATAAAGGAAGGAATAAAGAAAAGTAGGATTTTTTTCTTTTTTGCTTTTTGGGTCACACCTGGCGATGCACAGGGGTTACTCCTGGCTCTGCACTCAGGAATTACTCCTGGCAGAGTTCAGGGGACCATATGGGATCCTAGGAATCAAAGCCGGGTTGGATGCATGCACGGCAAACACCCTACCCGCTGTGCTATTGCTTCAGCCCCAAAGTAGGATATTTCTGAAGTTATTTTTTTGTTTGTTTTAATGAAATGGATAGAGATGCCCTTATTTGATTCACAATCAGCAGTTTGAGGGACAGAAATGATAAATTTGGTTTAGGAATACTGAATTTGAGGTATATTTCCGTATCTGTGTATTCATATTCCTGTTTAAACATTTCCTGTTTCATTCCCATATAGAGAGCCTGATTCTGTTTTTTCCCTACAGAAAATAATATTGCTTATGTACAGAGTCCCTTGTCAGTCTGTGTTACATTACCAGTCTTCTAACCCCCAGCCTATTCTACTGGACACTGACCATAAAGCCTGCTGCTTGCTGTAATTGATTCTAAGTCATGGGACACGAACATCCAAATATTTTTCTTGACCTTTTTAAATGATAGATCTTCCAATATGACCATGTATTATAAAACAATCAAATTTACCTTTATTTACTATACAAAGTTTACACCATAAAATTAGATATTATATTTGTTATTACTTTATAGACAAACAGATAACAATTACCTAAAGTGACAAAGTGGTAATGTCTTTGATTTAGTTGTGGAAAGCAGAAGTATCACAGTACACATCCCAGGAAAGAAGTTTGGGGATGATATTAATCAGCAAATGACTTTTCCAGTTCAGTGCAGTTTTTGGTGTTTTGTTGATATGGAGTCATCTTCGAAGAGAAACACACAGAAAATCAACACTCTAATTGGCCAGATGGTAAATTATATGCAGAGCATGCTTTTTAAAATGTTCTTCAGGAATGTTAGTCACAGATTTTTGATTAATGCTTTTATTATTAATGTCCTATTATTAATATGTGCCTGTATTAAATCAGGTACTAGGACTGAAACAGTGATGTTTGAAACTCTGATGATTGTAACCATCCAAACAGATGTGTACTCACTATGTTATTTTTCATAGGTAGTAGGGAGATTTTGATGAAAATGTGTATAAGAAAAAAGTGGACACAAATGATTAAAGGGGCCTTAGATGAGGGTTATTAGTAGAATGTATGCTTGCATGAAACTGTGTTTGGAAAGAAAGAGAGTAAAAGAAAAGGTTGGAGGGAAGAGAGAAAAACAGGGAAAAGGGAGAAAGGAAGACATAATAAAAATGTTTTAATTTTTAAAAAATTTCAAAAATTGATACCTATGGAGGTTGCATGTTCTTCAGTAATTTCTTTAAACAATAATTCATAATAAATACTATTTTAATAGTAATAATTTGGGTGATTATTATAAGTAAAACTTAATTCCCTTTTTGTGAAAATGCCAGAGTATAATGTTTCCCTTACCTTTTGGGTTAATATAGGATTGCAGTTTGATTCCAGCTAATCTTGTAGAGACATTTGGATTATTGATTAATTGCAATGAATCATCTCCTTGCTACCCACTTCTTCCAACTATACAACATACTTTAAAAAAGGCCATTGATCCTGAAGGACTGCTTTATGTTGCTTCTAAACAGTTTACAAGCGAAGATTTTGAAAAGGTAAAAGTAGATAAAATGAGAATCACTGTAACTAAAAATATTTATTTCTGAATTTAAGTAGGACTCCCTTTTGAACATAAATTTTCTTTATTATTCTTTTATTCCAACTTCCTTCCAGCTTTTTAACATGAAAAGAACAGAGAAAGGACCTGAAAGCATAGACGTGAAGGGGCTTGCCTTGAATGTTCAATCCAATTTCACTTCCCACACTAAGTGTGATCCCTTAGCCCTAAGCACTGAGCCAGGAAGAAGTCCTGTCTACTGCTGGGCATACATGACTTCCCTTAAAAAAAGAACATAGTTCTATATACATTATACACATATATAGTCATATGATTTATATGTGAAATATATGCATAGGTATATTAAAGTGTTGTTTATTTGTTACACCATTGTCTCTATCATAACTTTTAAAATCTTTGTTTTAAATTATTTCTATAGAAGATTATGAAAAGCTATATGGATGCACAGTTATTTACAATTTACAGACTACTCAAAGGATTTCCCTTGTATGAATATCTTCAGAGTTCTGAGGTTAGGAAGTATCTATCATGACATGTTAATTTATTTTAATAATATTGGGGGGCCACACTTGGCAGTGGTCAGAGGTTATTCCTGGCTCTGCATTCAGGAATCACTCTTGGCAATGCTTGGGGGACCATTTGGAATGCCAGGGATAAAACCCAGGTCAGCTATGTGCAAGACAAGTACCCTACCACCTATACTAGCTCTCAGGCCTTATTTTGATCATTTGACATGAAAATAAGTATAAAATATTTAGATAATGCAGATGTTATGTGATGTAAATTCAGTAAGATGCTCCTGGCTATAAAAGCTACTTAATTATTTACACGAAAAGCCATTTTAATATTAATTGTTCAGCAACCATTCACAGTAGAGTTAAAGTATCTGAGTAGGATAAATAAAAGGCAAGGGATATTAGGAAGTGGGGTTCTATGGGTCATTAAATTTTTTATACCTTCCTTCCTTGTAAGCATATAGCAACAGTAAAAGAGTGGAAAATGAGATGGATTTCAGAAGTATGAGCCTTACCATTGATAATTTACATAAATTAAAATAGAAAAAGAACAATATATTTGATAAAGTTTATGTTCATACATAAGAGAAAAGTAGGAAACTGCAGAGATTGTAGAGGAGGTAAAGTTTTTGCCTTGCATACAACTGATCCAATCCCTAGTTTAGGTCCCCAACACCAAACTTGGTACCCCCAAAAATGTCAGGGGTCATTCCTGAGTTTGGAGCTGGTAATAGTCCCTGAGCTCAGTCAGGTATAAACCAAACCAGGCTCCCCACCAATGCTTCTCTCTCTCTCTCTCTCTCTCTCTCTCTCTCTCTCTCTCTCTCACGCACACACACACACACACACACAAAGATAGACTGCAGTGATGACTCAATGACTAAAAGTACCTGCCTTGTAAGTGTGAGGTCGTGACTTTGAACTCCAATGCTGCTTACATGCACAGAGTAGTTCCCAGAAGTTAGGCTGTTTGGGACCTTTGATGCCACAGAAGACTGTGCAGCTCTTGTGCAAAGCCAGGTATCTAATAGTTCGGCATCTAAAGATGTGTGAGTGCTGCGGCCAGGAATGCAACCCCTCCAAGCATGTGTGTGAGCACATGCCTCTGGCAAGCACTACAGTCAGAAAGTGTGAGATCACCACAAATATATTGTGGGGGAAAAAACCCAAGCCCTATAGTATGCAACTGACATTGAGCACTGTGGCTGAGTATTCAAGCACAACCAAGCATGTGAAACCACCAGTCATTGCAATAATAATTTGTCTGTCTGTCACTGTCCTCCCCTTGTTCATTGATTTGCTAAAGTGGACCCAGTAACGTCTCCATTTTGAGGCTTGTTGTTACTGTGTTTGGCATATTGAATACGTCATGGAGAGCACGGCAAGCTACCGAGAGTATCTTGCCCGCATGACAAAGCAATAATAATAGCAACCAAAAAAAGACAAGGGATGGAAAAAAGTCTCTAGGGATTAGGATACTGAATATATAACACAATTTTTTGCCCAGTATTTCCCATGCAATCAAAACACATATCTATGGAAACTATGGACTAGTTTTTTTACTAAATATGTTATGTGAGTCTACTTATTTTTTAAAATATACTACCAAAGAAATGTAAATTCTACATTTAAGTTTATAATCAATTGAGATTAGAAAGATACTTAAAACGAGGGATAATTTAAATACTAGACAGGGTGGTGATGGTTATAAGATTTTAGGAACTCAGAAAAGAGATATCAAGTTTGATTTTTTGTTGTTGTTGTTGAAGGACTTCATGAGGAAAGTGAGCATTTAGTTGGACTTCAGAACAGGTAATATTCAGATGGCAGTAAGGATGGCAATTACAGATAAAAATAATAACAAAGATAATGAAAGTAAAATTGAGGTCTCAGGGAGATACTTTAAAGGTTTGAGTGAATGTTTTGCATACACAACGACCCCAAATTCAGTCCTTGGCACTTTGGGTGCATGTCTTGCATTACCCCCCACCCCCAGCCCCTCAGGGTCCAAGTAGAACCACGTTATCGACCTGAGCACCTATCAGACCTGCACCACCAAGTCAAGTATTCCCAAGACTGGCCCCTGGTCTCTTAAGCACAGGTGCTTCCCACAATTAAAAAAAATTAAAATGTTTTTATAAAGTAGAAATGAGGGCAAAGAATTGTGGCTCATGTTAGACTACTTGTCTGGCATATATGATTCTAGGTTCCATTCCCTGCACAGCCCCCAGTCCCTCCCCCCTCAATGTAGAATTGAGTATACATAAGAAAAACTTTGAAAAGATCTTCCTGACCGAAATAAAACTTTATGAAATCACTGGGATTAGAATTTCATTAAGCTTATTGACAAATTTTGCAATAAGTTTTGAAGCTCGGGCAAAAATGTAGAGAAGAGATATAAATATGTTAGTCAAGCAGTGAAGATAATTTCCCCATAAAATAAATCTATGTGTCATGCAAAAGAGATTGGAAGAAATAGATTGGATTCTGAGTTTTCTCGGCGTTAGAATGAAACGGAGCTTAGTATAACAGTGTTTATCAGAGTTGGTTCTATCATTATCCTTAGAAGGGAGAAGAAGTGGGTAGGAGCCATTTACAAGCTAGTTTCAGCAGGCCCTACAGTAAGCTTTGACTACAGAAAATTCAAGAGTTGTTCTGCTTTGGATGGAAATAGAAAAGATTTATAACACTTTCCTCCACTTGCACCTCTATTTGATATGAGCTGTCATGTGGCAGTTTTTGAAGAAACCGACCCTGAAGGCCATCACTAACAACACTCCCATCCCAGTAGCTGGGGCAACTACTGGGGATTCTGTATTTCCATGGAATAAAATGATGTTGAAAAAGTGTGAGGAAGGCCAGGGCACTGGTCAAGCACAGCCCGCTTGCTCACCTCCCAGGTCTGTGCCTCCCCAAGAAGGATTTCATGGAGAGCACAAAATGTTTAAAGCAAGCACTCATTTAAAGAGATAAAGGAAGCAAAACCCTTTCTAGGGTAGAAGTGAAGCTTTCTTTCCAGATAAGAGAATAAGAAGGACACTCTAGGAGGCACAGGGAGCGTGTTCACAGGGGAATACTACTGCTGCCTGTTTCTTCTTTCTTTTCACCTTCAGTATTTCCTTCCCATTTTCTTCCCCACTGGACAGAGAGAGATACCTTGGATTCTAAGGTCCTGGCCACATTTGACCATTTCATAGATTTCCATGGTTATTATAAAATTGTTATGATGACAGTGGACATGATTTTTTAATTTTTAGATATTATAATGGTCATATAATGAGCTAGAGTTTGCTCAGCTGCCACTTGATCATATAATGGGCTAGAGTTTGCTCGGCTTCCATTTAAGCTGTTCCATTCCCCTCCTTGGCTGAAACAAAGAGAAAAATCTTTGCAAGAACTATAACAATCTGATGAGATTGTGTACTACTGTAAATTAGGACTGATGTCTTGCTTGAAACTTTGCCGCTGGGAAGTCTACTAACATTACTTGTTCTTCTCCATCTCATACAAACAGGCAAAACAAATACATTGAACAAAACATTTCTTGACTGAAGAGGGAGGCAAAGATTATTCAGGGTAAACACGAATATTACTGACAAGTATCTAGTCTATGATAAAAGTGCTCAATAATTTTAGGATAGCCTAGGTACTTAATCAATTAATTTTAAAGTGCCAGTAAACTTTGTATTAAGTGATTCTATTAATTTAATCTTCAAAACTTTAATTTAGCTCCTGGCTTTTGCAAAGAATTTAAAAGTAGAATTTAGCGTGGAGGCAGAAAGAATGATTCATGGCTATTATCTAGCAAGTCGCAGAATCAGAACAGATGCAATATGTGGATCAAAACTGTCAGCATCTGCTTTAAAATACTTGTAAGTATTCAGTGCAAGGTTTTTAATCCCGTATTGCCTTTGAAATTATGTGCTTAATTAATTTAATGATTTGCCTCACTTCTTTGATTTCTGATGGGTTATTTTTGGTTTGGTCTTTTGGTTTTGGGAGCCCCAATCCTTGGTGCACAGGGGCTAATTCTGGCTCTGTGCTCAGGAGTGGTTCCTGTGTTAGGGAACCATATGTGGTGCGAGAGGTCGAACTGGTGTTGGTCATGTGCAGGACAAGTGCCTTACCTCCTTCCTTATCTCTCCAGGTTCTGGTTAATAAGTTTATAATGTACCTTTTTCCAAAAGAATTTAAGGGAACTTACTTCTTTATTTTTCAGTATTACATTATTTCAACTTTCATTAACTTATTTTAATCAAATTAATTTTATTGTACCCCTGTATGAAACATATCTACAAAAAAGTGTGGTGATGTCAAATGCAAATAATTATTTCTTAAAATGTGGCTATTTTATTCCATAAATCTTGAAGTTGAATATAAAAAAGATTTCTAAGCACAATATTTTTTGTACTTTGAAATACTTTAATATACTTATCTACTATTTCCAGAAAAATTTTAATGTCAATTTTTATTATAAAAGTAGGGTATGTACAGTAAAAGTCTAAAATTATAAGTAAAATGCCTTGCTAAGCACTCCCCATTCCATACCACGGACCCAAAAGTGCTGTGCTGCTTGGGCCCTGCAATGCTGATAGTTACTAAGTAGTGTTGAGGGTCTCCAGGGCTGCATTCATCAGTGCTAATCTGGCCCTAGATAATAATTTTTAATAGCTCTTGTGCATCCTCCTAGAAATTATCCTCTCAAATAATAGCATAGAAAACATATATAACTATATGATATATTAGCTACATTTTATGTATGTATGTTATATATCTTGGATCTATGTTATTTAAATTTATTGCATATAAGTACATATGTTCATCTTAATTTTTTACCAAAAAAATAATGTATGGCATATATCATACCATATTTTTTATGTTAGCACCTAAAATTTGCCTCATTCTGGGGTCAGGGATATGGTTCAGTGGCAGAGCATGTGCCTAGCATGTAAATGCTCTGGGTTTGAATTCTGCCACTGCAAAAAAAAGGGGGGGGGACCAGAGAGATCTTTACTTTGCACATAACTGACCTGCGTTTGATGCCTAACACTCCATATGATTCCCCAAGCCAGGACTGATCCCTGAGCGCAGAGCCAGGAGTAAGCCCTGAGCACAGCCAAGTGTGACCCAAAAAACAAAGAAAAAAAAAGAAAGAGAACAAGAACTACCTCAGTCCATTTTAATCATTACATTAGTTTTACTATGTAGTGCTGTGATTATACTGTAATTAAAACAGTTCCCTATTATAGACTAGTACATAACTTGGCATAAATTAATACATAATCTCCAAAACATAATGAGGTAGGACTAAGAATAAATAATACATTATATATTATGTATTATATTTTTATATATTTATATATCAGTGGAGATGTTACTGGGCCTGCTCGAGCAAATCGATGAACAACGGGAGGACAGTGAGAGTGACAGTGATATTTATACATTGTATATTTTATATATTCTCATAAAAATAAATGACTGGTTACAAATATCAAGTATAGGTTTATAAGAGAGATATTTTGTTAATTTCTCCAACTGTATATTTATCTTTAAATAGCTTTAGAAAGAGAGAGAGAAGGAAAGAAAGAAAAAGAGAGAGAGACAGACAGAGACAGAGACAGAGAGACAGAGAGAGAGACAGAGTAGGAACCAAGAGATTGTACAGGGTTAGGGCATATGCTCTAAGAATTGCCAGTTGGTCCCCTGGCCTTCTGAGCACCACTTGGAAGGGTCCCCACTCAAAGTAAGCTAAAGATAAACCAACATAGAAACCAAGTATGCTGTCAAAATGGGAAACTGAATTCTGTTTTGTTGAAAAGAAGAAATGCTTTTCATTTTCTTAGTTTCATTTGTTCTTTGGTTTTAATTTATTTATTCCCTCTCTCCCTTCCCTTTATTGTTATTGATATTGATGCAGTGATGATAGGAGGGTGCACACAAGCTGGACTGTGGCTCACACATTTTTAACTGTGGTGCTCACCAGGGCATGCAAATCAGTTATGTGGTGCTCACAAACTTGGCCTCATTGCTCATGTGGTTTGCACTCTTTTGCTTTCTGTGTTTGCACACACATTCATAAGGATGAACTCTTCAGGTTGAGGCAAACATGTTAAATGGTTTTGATGCTTACTGGGAGTCAACACACTAAGGCTTCACTTCCTGGTCATGGCACTCACACATCTTTTGTTGTGGTGTTTGTCAGAAGTCACCACTATTTTTGTGGTGCATACATATACTTGGTATGGTACAGCAGAAATTGCTTGCAGTGCCAGGGATCACAGATAGCAGGGCTGTCAGGCTTAAACAGCAGTGTTGCCAAGATTGCACATAGCACATGTGGCATGCTATGGATTTGAACTTGTGATCCTTTGCCTGCAGAGCAGGCACTCTAAGCAACTGTATTGTTCTATTTTTTTTATTTTTAATTTTTATTTTCATAAAAAATGTCTGATACTCTACCAACTGAGCTATCTGGGCTGCAGCGATAGCACAGTGGGTAGGGCGTTTGCCTTGCACACGGCTGACCCAGGTTCAATTCCTCCATCCACTCGAAGAGACTGGCAAGTTACAGAGAGTATTCCGCCCATATGGCAGAGCCTGGCAAGCTCCCCGTGGCATATTTGATATGCCAAAACAGTAACAAGTCTCACAATGGAAACATTACTGGTGCCCACTGGAGCATATTGATGAACAATGAACAGGACAATGCTAACAGTGCTAACAATGCTAATTTTCATAAATTTGTTCACAATAATTGATTACATGCAATATTTCAACACCAATCCTACCACCATTACACCTTCCCACCAACATTATTTTGTATTGCTTTTTATAAATAGTGTAAGATGTGTGTAAGGGTCTATCTCACAGTGATTCAATATAAAAGTAAAAATAAAAAATAGTAGGTGATATCATGCAGCTGTGAAATTCTAAAATTTTAAATTTCAAATAATTGGAGTACATTTCTGCAGTGAGGTGCTCTGTTCCGAGATTAATTTATGAGCCTCTGGATCATGGCCGTTAATGCAGTTAAATGGCACCAGGAGGCAGTTTGTGGGCGTGACAACCAGGACCCCGGAAGGTGGGGTGATGGGAAAAGGTAGCCTGTTCCCAGTTCCTTGAGGCCTAGAGTTTTCAGTCACTGGTCCCACATACCTGGGCTTTTCAGCGGATTCATTTCTCTTGCATGAGGAGCTTGGAAAGAGCCTGTGAAGATTAGTCGTGAGGGTGGGTGCAATTGGGTTCTGGAGGTTTGTGGCCGCCAGGGTTCATTTGGAGCTGGCAGAGGGACAATGCCTGCTCCCATCAGAAGTGCCCGGTGAAATCATCCTGGCGCAAGGTCCGGAGACATCTCTACAGTGATCTGCACTGTTCTGAGATTCATTTCTTCTTGCCCCACTTTCCATTTCCTAAATTATTATTTAATGGATTAATTATTTAATTACTTGAATCATAATCATATATCAATTAAAAACTTAAGAGCTTTGAAAGTGCTATTTTCATAACTTGTTCTAGGTAGTAAAAGATATTTTAAATTTAAACTCACTTAACCTCAGATAACATATAACTATATTGATCTAAAAATAAAGTTTATTTGAGGGGATCAGTTGACAGTTTATTAGCAAAAATAGCCTGCTTTCACAAGAGTGAAGCCATAAGTTTGATCTTCAGTGCTGCCTACATGCACCAAGCCCTACAGCTCTGCTTTCTGAGACCCTTGGAGCACAACAGAGTATGTTATTTCTGTAGCACAGCCAAGTGTGCAGGAGAACCACAACTAAAGTTGAGCGAGCTTCACTATAGAGGTGCAAGCACTACAACCAGGTGTGTTTGTGCCCTTCTGTTGCTACAGCAATAGTAAAAGGGGAAGGGTGTGGGGAAATTAAATGAAGCAGAATTAATTTTAATATGACATTAAATGTGACAACTGTATTTAAACAGCATGTGTAGAGATAGGTTTATGAAATAGAAAACAGTTCTCAAAAGAATCATAAACTTTTAAGTTTTCTTCTACTTCTATAGATTGGTGTCTAATAACACCAACTTTGATTTTAGAGAAGGTGAGTTGAATGATACTCTCTTCTTTTCCCCTTAATGACTCTCCACATATTCTGTCCAAATCAATATTTTTAGAAATACCTTAGTTGGGAATATCAGGGCCAGGATAATTAAATTTGTAAGTAAATAACACCAGAAAAATCACCAACAGTGATATTATCTACAAGAAAATCAGTAAGATAAATTTAATGACTTCAATTAGGTCCCAAACTCCCTAGTGCAAGTATGAGTGGATGATAAAAAACTGATATGTCCTGGAGCTGGACCAACAGCACAGTGGGTAGGGCGTTTGTCTTGCACGCAGTCGACCTGGGTTCGATTCCCAGCATCCAATATGGTCCCCTGAGCACCGCCAGGGGTAATTCCTGAGTGCAGAGCCAAGAGTAACCTCTGTGCATTGCCGGGCGTGACCCAAAAAGCAAAAAAAAAAAAAAAAAAAAAAGAGAGAGAGAGAGAAAAAAAACAAAACCCTGATGTGTACTAATATTATAAATATTTGAGATTTATTCCCATAATATGCTTAATATGAACAGACAATGTAATAAAGATGTTACCTATACTCTGCTTGGGGTAGTAGAATGTAGTGTCAAGAGTAATTCCACCGAAGAAAAAGAAAAAATAAAAGAGTAATTCTACCTCACCTCTCCTCTGTTGGTCAAAATACCTGTAGAGAAAAAAAGCATTACCAAATCTGGTAATGAAGTTTTTAACTGGGATGCTACATATTATGTGTGTCTTGGTATACTAAAGGAACTAGAAATATATTAGAAAAAGGGTAATTATAAAAGTTTTCTTTGACTATTTGAAGAACTGTCACATTTAAGAAGTAGTAGGCTTGTTCTGTAGTTCCAGAATACAGAACCAGGTACTAGTGGGTGGAAATTAAAGTAAAACCAATTTCAACTTACATTTATATAACTTTTGTGGATGAGTCACAAAATTTTCAAATGCTTTATTTGAAATTACAGAAGCTATGAATTATTGTTATCCCCATTTTATAGGTTTTTACAAATATAAATTAAATAATTTTAAAATGAAATAATTTATATAAAGTCACACAACTAGTAAATTCCAAGGATTTAACCCAGGTTTTCTGTTTCCCAAGTCCAGTTATCATTCATGTACATTATATCTGCATTCTGAGAACTTAAGGGAAGTTTTTCAGTTAAAAGGTAGACATCCTCATAAATCATAGTGAATCTTAGGAAAGTTTCAAGAGGCTGGGCAATTGTAAAGAAAATTCAATTACTTTATTGGAGTTTGAACTTTGAACCCTACGATCTCTTCAAACGTTGACATTTTATGATTCTGTGATAACTCCAAACAAATGAAAAATTAAAAGAAAATACCAAGTATGTGTCTTTAAGAGATATTTAGATTAAGTTTTTGAACTTTGTATTTATCTGAACAGATTTGGGGGAAGGGGTTTAGAATAATAAAGAGAAGTCAGGGTAGAAACCTAATTCCTTGATAATATATCAATATACTTGAAAGTTCTGGAATAGTCTAGTCAAACTAGAAAACAAACCTTTTTTAAAAAATTTTTTTAGTGTCTTCTAAACAAGCAGGATGGAGGTAGGAGGGAAACTGGGCACTTTGTTAAAGGGAAGTGGACAATGTTGAAGAGACTGGTTTCAGTACACTGTAATCCTGAAATTCAATCATGAGTAATTTTGTACTTTGTAATTTATGGTGATTCAATGTAAATAAAATAAATCATAAAAAAGAAATAAAAAATACAATTGCTTATATTCACCTATGACTTGGTTTGGTCTTGCCAAAAATATTTATTACTTTTATAATAACATGTTTTTATTGGCATCAACTTTTTTTTAGAGTGTCCCTATCTGAAGCCCATGCTCGATTGAACTTAAGGAATAAAGTCCTTGAAGAAGATGTAGTCATTGCAGCCTTATTGTTTGAGATATCTCTCACACTGAAATATGGTAATCTATGAAATTTTAATGATCCTACATATAATAATATTTAAATTTAAATATTCTCAGTCTATTAAAATGTTACATATGTATTAAATATTCTCCTAAGGAATAATAAATTTTATCAGTTAAGAAAGACCTGTTTAAATATGAAAACTTCTGTTTATAGGAATTATCATTATATGATATTTTTGGGGGGGTCACACCCGGCAAGGCTCAGGGATTACTTCTGGCTCTGCATTCAGGAATCAATCCTGGGGGTTCTTGGGGAACCATATGGGATGCTGGGGATTGAACCTGGGTCGGGCACGTGCAAGACAAACGTCCTATCCGCTGTACTATCACTCCAGCTCCTGATAATTTCATATAATGCATGACTTTCTCCATACTTGAATTTCCATGTAGGTTTAAGAATGCTGGGGGAAAAATAATTTTAAAATTTCCTCTTTTTAAAATAGAATGCAATATTTAATTGTCCAGAGTAAACATATAACCAAGAAAAAAAAGCAATCATCTAGCACACTAGCTTTTCAGTATTGCTGTTATAATAAAGGTAAAGGTAAAGGTCCTCCCGTTGATCGTCGATTTGCTCGAGCGGGCCCAGTAACGTCTCCATTGGAGACTTTGTTGTTACTGTGTCTGGCATATGGAATACTCTCGGTAGCTTGCCGGGCTCTCTGAGAGGGGCGGAGGAATCGAACTCGGGTCGGCCATGTTGGCCGCTTGTAAGGCGAACGCCCTACCCGCTGTGCTATCGCTCCAGCATAACTTATTCAACCACTAAATATTTATTTAGTAATTTTGCTAATAAAAACAGAAGAGCTGGGGCTGGAGTGATAGCATAACAGGTAGGGCGTTTCCCTTTCACGCAGCTAACCCAGGTTCGATCCCCAGCATTTCATATGGTCCCCTGAGCACTGCCAGGAGTCATACCTGAGTGCAGAGCCAGGAGTAATCCCTGAGCATCATCAGGTATGAACCAAAAAGCCAAAAAAAAAAACCCAGAGTTTTAAAAAATTTATTGTTATTGTTCTTTTTGTTTTTGAGTCATATTCGGTGGTGCTCAAGGCTTACTCCTCACTCTCTGCCCAGAAACCACTCCTGGTGGGACTTGGGGAACCATATGGTGTGTTGGGGATCAAACCCAGGTGGGCCACATCCAAAACAAACGCCATACCTCACTGTTCTATTTCCCTGATTCCAGAAAAGAATTCTTTTCGGAAGGGGGATAATGGGGTAGAGGGTTCGGCCACACCCGGGGTGCTCAGTGGTCACTCCTGGCACTACACTCAGAAATCACTCCTGGCTGGCTCAGGAGATTATATGGGATGCCAGTTATTGAACCCAGTTGGCCACATGCAAGGCAATTGCCCTACTTGCTGTACAATATCTCTCTGGCCCAAGAAGAGTCTTCAAGGGGCTGGAGCGATATCACAGTGGGCAGGGCTTTTGCCTTGCATGCGGCCGACGACCGGGTTCGGTTTCCAGCATCCCATATGGTCCCCTGAGCACTGCCAGGAATAATTCTTGAGTGCAGAACCAGGAGTAACCCCTGTGCATCGCCGGGTGTGACCCACCCAAAAAGCAAAAAAAAAGTCTTCGAATAAAAATGTTGTTGTTGTTGTTGTTGTTGTTGTTTTTTGTCACACCCAGGAATGCACATGGGTTACTCCTGGCTCATGCACTCAGGAATTACTCCTGGCGGTACTTGGGGGACCATATGGAATGCTAGCAATCAAACCCAGGTCGACCGAGTGCAAGGCAAATGCCCTCCCTACCCACTGTGCTATCACTCCAGCCCGAGTTATTTTCAGTAAGTTCTTGTTGAACCAGATGAGGCATTAATTTTGATGAAAGATTACCAATCTTCAAACCAAACTTTGCTTCCAAAGCTGAGACTTAAAAGAATATATTAACATGGACTTTTCTGTACATATATATTTAGTACTTAAGTTTGCTATATGTTTTTTACTCTAATAACTTCACAAAGATCAATTACAACTTCACTCCACAAATGTCTAAACCAAGCGTTATTAAATAGAATCTTTCAGTTTTTATGTATCTTTCATTTTATAACATGTATTATGAATACATGTTCTCAAAATACATGCTATAAAATGAAAGATTCCATGTAGTCTTAGAGTTTATGAACCCCTAAGTTAGATGTAATCTGTATTTTTTATGTTGTTTGCTTTTTGCCTTTGTGCTCAGAAAGATGAACTATAAATTCTATGTCTTAGAGGTTCACGTCTCTCAGAAAAGGATAGTTATTATTCTGAATAATTTGCCAAAATAAAAATTATGGTTCCTAACATACTAGATAATAGTAGGAAGAATATATATTTTATTTTGACTTTTTTTCATCTCTTGCTGTTTATTTAAAATCATATTTGAGGGGCTGGAGCCATAGCACAGAGGGTAGGGTGTTTGCCTTGCACATGGCCAACCCGGGTTCGATTCCCAGCATCTCATATGGTCCCCTGAGCACCACCAGGAGTGATTCCTGAGTACAGTGCCAGGAGTAACCCCTGTGCATCTCTGGGTGTGGCCCAAAAAGAAAACAACAACAACATATTTGAGGGCTGAGGAGATAACTCAGTGGGTTAGAGCACATGCTTTGCATTCTGGAGCTGAGGTTCAATCACTGGCACCACCTGGCCCATTTTTACAGTTACTCCTGATCACCAGGAAGAGCTCCCTGACAGGTATGACCCACACCCACCCCACCCTCTAAGGAAGTTCACAGCAGCTTTTCACTTCCGTTTGGGTGTCCATGCAAGGCAAGTACGGAATCACTGAATTATCTCTGTAGCCCTTCTCAAAATACATGTTATAACATGAAAGATACATTAATTTACCATAAGTAAAATGCTGCTAATTTTACAATAATGTCAGTTAAGACATAACTAGGTTTAGTAGCACTGCACTTTAGCACTGTCCTCCCATTGTTCATCGATTTGCTCCAGCGGGTACCAGGAACGTCTCCATTGTGAGACTTGTTACTATTTTTGGCATATCGAATATGCCACAGGGAGCTTGCCAGGCTCTGCCATGAGGGCAGGATACTCTCAGTAGCTTGCCGGGGTCTTCAAGAGGGACAGAGGAATCGAACCTGGGTTGGCCATGCAAGGCAAACGCCCTACCCACTGTGTTATTGCTCCAGACCAGTAAGAATACAATAATGTGTCCCTGAACTAAAAAACTTGGGCACTGTAGTATTAAGGACTTCTCTGGTAAATATAACAAAGTATTTTCATTTGATAGATATTCGTCCAAAATGTTTTTGGTTTTTGGGCCACACCCAGCATTTCTCAGGTCTTAACTCCTGGCGGTGTTCAGGAGACCATATGTGGCATTAGGAATCGAACCAGGGTAAGCCACATGCAAAGCAAGTGTCTGGCTTGATATACCATTTCTAACCCTAGACTTTCTTGAGGCACTTAAAATATTTGATGATGTAAATAGGATTATGTGTAGGGATTTTTTTTGGCTGGTTTCGATTTGGGGGCCACATCCAGCAGTGTTCAGTGGCTGCTTCCAGCTTCCGGGAACTAACCTAGAATTCCTATATGCAAGTGTTCAGCTGTTTGAATTATCTTCCAGGTCTCTAAGATTTTTTTATCTTTTGCGTATGTTTTGTTTTCATAATGAATTTCAGGTAGGTATTTATTTTTCCAGGTAGGAATTTCCTTACAAGTGGTACTCAGTGGGGACCAATTCCAGAGATTCTTTGGTAACTGAGCCAGATGCTTTGAGTCCCAGGATGCACTGGAGCTTATGCCTTGAAATGTTAGGAATCACCGGAGCATCTCTGTTGGTGTTTAGGGGTTACACAGGCCTACATCTAGGAATAATCAGAGAATCATGTAGTGCCAGGGACAGAACAGGATTGGGCACATGCCAAGTATGAGATTTAACCTCCCACTATCTCTCAAGCCCTTGATTTTGAAGTCTTAAGTGCTAAAAGCTCTTAATGGGGCCAGAGGGATAGTACAGCAGGTAGGGCATTTGCCTCGTAAGTGGCCAACCTGGGTTCAATCCCCAGCATCCCATATGGTCCCCCAAGAACAGCCAGGAATAATTCCTGAGTGCAGAGCCACTGAGCATTGCTGGGTCTGACCCAAAAAGAAAAAAAATTGCTTTTAACATAGCCAGAAAAAAGAATTCTACATATATATTTTTTTAAATGCACAGCCAATAGGAAATACTCGTGAACTAAATTTAAGAGTTGGATGGTGGGGAGCGGGCATGGAGGGACAAATGAAAATTTCTACATGAGTGGATCATAGTGCCAATTGGCAAGACTGAAGAAAGAAAACACTGGCAAAATGAAATTATAGGTATCAGTGTAACATCCTGCAGGGATATAAACAGAGGAATCAGGAATTTGAAGAGAATTTTACTGAGACTTTAACTGAGAAATCACCAGCAAAGATACTGAAAATTAGCATCTAGAATGTAGGAAGATACACCCTGAGGTAAAGGATGTAACAACTGGCTTCAAGAGGAAATGAGGGGGAAACCGCAGAAGAGGGTCTCATGTGACAAAGATCAGAATGTTGGCCATATATATCAAAAGAAAGGTTATTTCTAATATAAGTTCAATTCTAAGACCTTCATTATGTTGAAGTTTCTCATGAGACTTCAGATCTTAATTGAACTTAGCTCTAAAAACTTTAGCAAAATGATACATCTTGTTTGTTTTTAAATTTTTATTAGGGAAACACCATGAGGTAGTTATAGACTTACAAATTTTTGTGCTTGGGTTTCAATTATACAATGATCAAGTACCCATCCCTCCACCAGCGCCCATTTTCTACCACCACGGATCCCAGTATCCCTCCCACCCCCATCCCCCCCTGCCTCTGTGGCAGGGCATTCCTTTTTGTTCTCTCTCCTTTTGGGTGCTGTGGTTTGCAGAAGAGGCATTGAGTCGCAATCATGTTCAGTCTATAGTCTACTTTCACCATGCATTTCCCATCCTGGGAGGATCCTCCTAACACCCTTTACTTGGTGCTCCCTTATCTATCTGAGATTCCTTTTCCCCTAGCATGTGTGGCTGACCTCCAAGCCATGGAGTAAACCTCCTGGTACTTATCTCAGCTGTTCTTGGGTGTTAGTCTCCTATTTTGTTACTTTATGTTCCCCAGATTAATGCAATCTTTCTATGTCTATCCCTCTCTTTCTGACTCATTTCGCTTAACATGATACTTTCCATGTAGTACCACTTGTATGTAAATTTCATGACTTCACAAAATGATACATCTTGAAAAGTATTATTCTGAACATCTTGAAGAGGCCTATCCTTCAAAGATAACTAGACTGTATGATGTACAGTAGAGAGGACATTAAAACTTCCACTGAAATATTACAGGAGTAAAGTACTTAAGAAAATAAGTGGATGGGTCACAGAGATAGCTTAAAGGAAGATAGCCTTGCATGTGACAAGCTCCCCAATTTTTAGTTCATTTTTGGGTTTTGGGATACATTCATTGGTGCTCCTGGGGTTATTTTTAGCTGTGCTTGGGAGTCATTGCTGGCAGTGCCTGAAGGACCATGCTTCGCCTGGGGTCAATCTCAGACCTCCTGCATGCAACGCGTGTGTTCTGTGTATTGGGCCTCTCTTGCCCTAGGTTTGATCCCCAGATCCACATGGCCCCCTGAACTCCACTGGAGTGGTCCTGGTAACTGCCAGCATTTACTGAATCTAAACAGCGCCCAAGTATCAGGTCCAAAATTGCCAGGAGAAACCTGGTCATCAGAGGGCTTCTGAAGTCTCCCCCGTTAAAAAAAAAAAAGAGGGGATGGGATTCAGATAATCTATTTGTTAGCCTCTGACAGATAAGTCACTTTATATTACAAGGAAGACAATGGTACATGTTACTTAGTCCTGTTTTCTACACAAGGTCATCAGCTTGAGCCTTACAAGCCCCTGTGCTTAACAAAAAATTGTTAGTTATCTAATGGTATTCTGTGTTTGTTGGGTTGATCCTATCAGGCAATAAAAGCCTGTGACGCATTAGATATGCCAAAAAAGACTAACAAGTCTCACAACAGAGAAGGCTACTGGTGCCCACTCGAGCAAATCGATTAACAGGACAGTGCTACAGTGCAGGTCTTTGCACCCATATGACAACGTGACAATTCATCTTCCCCATTGTCAGTGGTTTTGAGGCAACTCCCAACAAATTGTTCAAGGAGTCACTCCCAATCAAGTGGTGAGGGGATATATAGCCCCAGTGATGAAACATGAAATTCCTGCATTAAAAGCATACATTTAGTCTTCCTGGCCTGTCAACTACTTTGGGGAGAGGGAAGGGGGACCACACCCAGTGGTAGTCAAGGATCAATCCAGGCAAGGCTAAAGACCTTATGTTATAAAGGATTGAGCCTTCACAACCCTTTTGTTCAGCCCCAGTGGTTTTTTAATTGAATGGTCCTTTAATTAGTGGCTTTGAATTAGTACACCACTCACAAATACTGACCCCCAACCATTCACTTGATATTAATCAAATGATTATTTCAGTACTTTTTTTTATCTCCAATTGGTCATTTGGTTATTTACCTGCCAATTTTTCAAACTTTAAATATAAACCTTATTCTGCCAATGGTTGACCTATGTTTGCCTCTTAACTATATCCTGGGTCTCAAATCGAGTAACATCTGGACTAGTCTGTTTAAGTCAGAACTTAATTCCTTATTTTGTTGACATTTTAATTTCATGCTTAGCATTCTACTAAATATTTCTCGTACTTTTCTTCTTCACTAGGTGCTGCAGTATTTTGTGTTGCTCCAAATGCAGTATTTCCATTTGAACAATATAATGAAGACTTTTTAGAACAGAGAGATATCTACCTGACTCAATGCCAGCAACAGCTTCATCAGTTTATTGTTACTTATGGACCTGGGACAGCTACTCTTGCTGGTGATGAATAGGAAATGTGAAACAAAATTTTTCATTCCTTTTTAAGCAGTATGCCTGTGCCTATGAAACCATGCTTCTTCACAGATCAAAACTTGAATACTATTTTTAAAAGCAACTACATGCTATGGCTCCTAAACCATTTTTTTAAATGTACTCCAAGGTGCCAAACTGGGAATAGAAACACAAAAATACACATTTTCGAGATATAACTTCTGAGAAAAAAACACTAATAGGAAAATAGTATGGATTTAAACTCCTGATGCACTTCAGAGAAAATTTTATTTCATAGTATCAAAAAATTCATATTATGTATTTTTGTTATAAAAATAATTTATACATTTACACATTCCAAGGTGATAATCAAACATTTTTATCTTTTGTTTCACGTTGTCTTCAGTTTTCCCTTCCAAAATGTTGCATGTAGTACCTCCAAGGGAGAAAAAAAAAAATCACAAAATCATGATGAAAATAGGAACAGGGACAGCTCTTCATACCCATTTTAAAAAGGGAATCTATGCCCCCTCCCACTTTATTATGGAACTTCTTTAATTCTTTGGGGCTTTACCAGATTATATGTATATATACACATTACATATGGGTGTTGCTTAACAACTTACCTGAGATAATGACTGTTTTTCAAACTCACAGCTAAATTCTTGGATCATTCACCAGCAGTTACCTATGTGTGGGAACAATTTTATCCATTAATCTAAAGCTTCATTACATTTGATGAATTCTTATTATTATATATTACTGGCATCTCAGTCTCAAAATAGTTCTTCAAAGAAACCCTCTGCTGGGTAAACGGCAAAAGGTGATGTCATCATTGTGCCAGTTAATCTTATGTCAAAATATACAAAGCCAGGAACAGAAATATCCAGAAATAAAAACATAATCTAATGTTAACTTTTGGTACCTCATATGCAGTTGTGTGCTATGTGGTTCCCAGCAATCCTCTATGCCAAGTATTTATCATGATAACTTCTATGTATCTTCATGATGACAGGCTTCGTCTCACCTGGAAATAAAAATCACACTGAATTCTATTACAACTGTTTTTCTTTTGCTGAACTGGGGATTGAACCCAAGGCCTCACAAAGCAAGGCCTCTTAATAGGAACTATATCCAGTCCTTATTTTATCACCTTATACACCAGAAGTCCAATAAAAGTCTTCCATTCTACCAGTAACGATACACTAACCATGTTTACACTACCGTAATTCCAACCAACTTTCCAACTAGAATTATTCAAGATCATACATCTTTTGGTGACAGGACATCAAAGAAACTAGTGGTGGGTGCCAAGAATCTGATACACATAACAACACACATGCACAACTCCTATAACTCAGTAAAAGGAAGGAAGCATTCAGAGGTGATACAGGGAGGTTAAGGCACTCGCCTTGCATTCCCTGAACACCACTTGGTGTACCCTGCCTCCAAAGGGAAAAAAATCCTTCTCAAAAGATCAATTCCTAACAATCCTTTAAATGATCTTTTCAACCTGGAAATGAATATTATCAGCCTGGATAGGAAAAACGTTGTATAGTTCTTTACCTTGGCAATATGATTTTAAGAATGGTCTTAATGATTATGCATCTATTGATTTTCTGTCTCACCTTAACAAGGATGAGCTATGAGCCTGGTTAAAGGTTATTTAAAAAAAAAAAAAAACTCTTCAAAAAGCACAAAGCCAAATTCAGTTTTACACACATAGTGCTGGCATTCTTATTGAATCATCCATAGAACACGTCCCAAATGTCCTGAAAGAACACTTAGACAAAACACCCCAGGAGGATAAATCATTGAACCAGATGGCTATTGGAAATGATTTAAGATATATCAAATGTTGAACCTTGCAAAGACAATTTGTCACTGTCAAGCCTTGAAAAGCTGAAATTATTTCCCATAATCAGTATCTGGAAGCTTATTCTAAATCCTAATTCAGGAATTTGTCTTATGAGAATCAGGCACTATGCATAATCCAGTTTTTCTACAAACAAATTATGCACACACCTATACACATGCGCTTGTGGTAACTGCCACCCACTCTCCTCCATCCCAAATCAAGAAACTGGACACAAACCCCCAGACGGCCAAACCTTAGGGAGCAAGGCAAGAGGAATGAGGTAGGGCACAAACAGCTGCTACAGCATGGTTGATATTCCTGTTCCTGTATGAAGTGGGGGACCAATTTCATCAGTTTTAAACATTAATAAAAGACACATGGATCTCAAATAGGCACGACCGTAATCCCTGGCAGATAAACAAACAGCGCGTTTGTTTTGCTAGTGAACTGTTCACATTCATGAACAGGAAACGTGCCTCCCACCTCCCAGGTGGGCCGTTTATTCTAGTATCATGCCCAGAAAGTCGCGTTTGGAGCTGAAGGGCCATCTATACAGCGCAACCTTCTCTAAATTTACAGGACCCAGTAACTAATAACAAGGACCCGGCTTAGCGCCGCTAGGATTTTTTTCAGCGAGCAGCTGGAAAAGCAGTCAGAGGTTACGGGCCATACTGTTATCGAATTATTATTCCCCCACTATAAAATGACCCCAAAGGACAATAACCACCTACTTGTAGGGCCGCACGGCTTCCCAGGTACACAAAACGGTGGCAACGAAGGCCAGGACGGGTTTCGGGGCCACCCACCGACCCGTTCCTTCCCGCCGCCTGGGGACCCGTAAGGTTATGACCCTTAACTAAGTTACCGGCATTTGCAAAGAGTCTGGTGGTTACTTACAAAAACGCAACTTAAACCAGAAGAGGTTGGAGCCGCGCCAACAGGGTGGGGGGGAGGGCTGCGGTCGGCACCACCCCTCCCCCCCGTCCCCGCGGCCACTCGGGCGTGGGGCAGGCGCCATCGCAGTGAAGACCCCGGGAGCCCCCGAAGCCTGGGACGTACATGGGCTCCGCACGAGGTCGGGGTCCCGGCAGAAAGATTATAGCTAAGGGGACAAAACACCAAGAGCCCGGAGATCGGCACACAGACTCGGCCCAGGTGCTCTGCCGGCGGCCACTGCACGCGTTAGCTCCGGCCGCAGCCGAGCGGAAAAGGAAGCGCGCGGGGCGCGAGCGCCTCTTAGGGCGCCTGGTGCCCCGCCTCTTCCGGGCCCTGGACCCACTTTTCCGGTATCTGACCACGCCCCCCGCAGTAAGCGTTGTGACTTCTTCGCCGAGCTTCTTCTTAGGGGGTACTTGGTTTCATATCTTGTGGTAGTAAAACGTACTGTACATTTATATTGAGGGCGTGGGGTTACGCAGGGCTGTGGAATTACGACGACGCTCTATTTTTTTTTCTTTTTGGGTCACACCTGGCGATGCTCAGGGGTTACTCCTGGCTCATGCACTCAGGAATTGCTCCTGGCGGTCCTCAGGGGACCATATGGGGTGCTGGGAATCGAACCTGTGTCGGTCATGTTGGCTGCGTGCAAGGCAAATGCCCTACCCGCTGTGCTATCGCTCCAGCCCGACAACGCTCTTTTTTAAAATGGAATTTTCATAATACTTGGTTTTGTTTTGTTTTGTTTTTGGGCCGCACGGGCTGTGCTCAGGGATCACTTCTGGCGGATTCCGGGACCCTATTGTGTACTGGAGATCCAATTCGGGTCGATCGCGTACAATGCATACGGCATACCCGCTGTATTATCACTCTGGCTCCTACTGCTCGTGAAAATTAGTTTGTTTCGGTATGTAAACGAATTGCTCATTTGCGTGGGTCCAAGCTAGCAGAAAATGTGAAAAGGAAGTTTTCTAGGTCTGGAGTCACTCAGTGTTAGAGCTCGGTACTCAGTACTTTCGCTCTTTGTAGAGTGCTGTCCCAGTCCCGTGCCAGCCAGTGAGAGTACCAAAACGGAAAATGTGCAAGCAGTGCCAAAGGTGCTTCACAGCGGTCAGCCCTGGGTTTATCCCCACTAAAGAAAAAAAAAAATATGTGCAAAGTATGATGCAACTCCAACCAAGAGGATGACCCCAGCCCGTGGCAACAACCACAAAGGGAAGAGGTCTGGCAGGCTTTTGGTTCAAATGGTAGCGAACATGCCATGTCCTGAGGCCCTGGGTGGAAGTTGGGGAGGGGGCCCTGGGGAGGGCGGAACGGTCATCATCATACACAGATACACACACACACACACACACACACACACACACACAGTTCTAGCTACTGGGATGGCTCGGAGCTAGAATCTCTGCCTTGCTGTGTGAGGTCATCTTGGGACACATTTTCATATACATATTAAGGGTCTAGTATTTCTAGTTGATTGTATTTGCTTATACTTCCTCGCATGAAATTATCTGCAATCATACAGAAGAACTAGAGGCAAAAATGCTTTTCCTTAATAATAGCTATAGTTATTTTATTAATAGTAACAGAATTTAAGAAAAAGCCTTTTGGTCCAGAGCGTAATGCAGCTGGGCTTGCATGTGTTTGACCGGGTTGGATCCCCAGCACCACATATGGAGCCCTGAGCCCCTCCATGAGTAAACCCTGAGCACCCATAGTAAATCCTGGAACCCCCTCAATGCTCCCCCCCCCAAAAAAAAACACAACCACTCCAAATTCTACCACTCATGGCCCATGATGTTCCTCCAGTGGTAAAGCATAAATCCTGAGTACTGCATGCCTGCTACCCAGTTCTGGGTATAACCCTGGTGGCCCTGAGCACTGCAGGGATTGGAGGAAATAAAATGTAAGTAAATAAATTTTTTTAAAAAACATGCCTCCTTAGAGTGAGGGAGACAGCTCAAAGGACTGGAGCACACTTTGCTTATAGGAGCTTGGAGTTCCCTGGAGTTCCCTGACACCATACATCCTGCTGCTAGGAGCACAGCCTTCTTCATGCACTGGTGGGAAACAGCCCTGAGCACTTCTAATGTGACAAAAATTCAAAGCCAAACCCAACTCAAACAAAATAACCCCCCCTTTTTTTAAAAAAAGAAAGCGCACTCATAAAACTCTTATTAGCATTTTTATAAACATAAAATTTGCTGCTAATATTTTTGCACCCTGAATGTTATAAATCTTGCATTCTTTCAGTCATTATATATGGAGTTCTGACTCTGGAACACTGAACACTTCGTGGAGGAGACAGGCTTACGAGCTGACCAGAGAAGAATTCAAGTGGAAAGGGAATCATTAAACAGTTGAATCAGTGAAAGATACTTCCTCCTTTAAAAGTGGAACTTAGAAAAATATTGATTCAAAATCCAGAAAAAATTTTTACAGGAATTCATGGTTGTAAAAATCTAAACCTACGATAACAAATTTTGATTATGCTCATTCATTACTAAAGAATTTCTCTATAGATTTTTTTTTTTAAGTGTTTCCAGGGCCATGGAGATGGGTCAAAGGGCTGAGTGCTCATGTTTTGCTTGTGTGAGCTGGGGATGGACCTCTGGCATTTCATGGTGCCACAAATACCTTTGGGGATTGGCCCGTATCACTGTGCTGGGAGTAGCCACAAGCACTAGTAGATGTGACACCAAAACAAACAAAAAAAGTTTGTTTTCCTCCTTTCCTCTCTGATTGCAAAATAGATCTATCCTTCTTTTCTAAGGCATGCGCCCTTTCAGCCCACCTACTGGTATTATGAAATGTGTTTGGAGACCCAGGGAGATGACTCAAAGGGCTGGAATGCCACACACAGCTCCCCCTACACTGTCAGGTGTGCCCCCCACCTTCCTCAAAAAAAGGTATTTGGTGTTATTCAGTAATAAGTACTTCACTCCAGAGAGTTCTTAGAGTCTGTGTTCCTGAGTTGTGGGCCAGAGCGATAGCAGAGTGGTAGGGCCTTTGCCTTGCAAGTCACCGGCCTGAGCTGGGTTCAATTCCTCCGCCCCTCTCGGAAAGCCCGGCAAACTACCGAGAATATCTCGCCCGCACTGCAAAGCCTGGCAAGCTACTGAGAGTATTTCGCTTGCACAGCAAAGTCTGGCAAGCTACCTGTGACGTATTTGATACACAAAACACAGTAACAACAAGTCTCACAATGGAGATGTTACTGGGCCTACTGGGCCCGCTCCAGCAAATCAATGAACAACAGGAGGACAGTGGCTTGATAGTAGCTTGAGCTGAGTTAACGATCCTGATTGCAAAAATAGAAGACCACATAAAGGAAAAATTTATTTGATTTTCTTTAATTTATGTTTTTAGTGAATCACCGAGAGATAGTTACAACAATTTCGTGATTGGGTTTCAGTCATACAGTGTTCCAATACCCATCCCTCCACCAGTGTACATTTAAAGGAAAAAGTTTAAGTTTGATATGGTAGCTTCTTAAAAATAGCCATTCTCTGGGGGGATTATGAGGGGCGGGGGTGGGCAGTTTTGTTTCAGAAGGGAAAAACAAAATAAATAAATGACCATGTGCTATCGCTGCACACCCCTGGCCTACTATTTTTTTTTTCTTTTTGGGTCACACCCAGCAATGCTCAGGGTTTACTCCTGGCTCTGCACTCATGAATTACTCCTTGGTGGTGCTGGGGGACCATATGGGATACTGGGAATCGAACCCGGGTTGGCTTCGTGCAAGGCAAACGCCCTACCCGCTGTACTGTCACTCCAGCCCACCATGGCCTGTATTTTAAAAAAGGACAAAACAGGGGCCAGAGAATTTTCTTTCTTTCTTTTTTTAAATATAGGCCATGAGTGTACAGGAGTTAAGTCACCCCCATGTTGTCCCTGAGCACTGAGCACTGCCAGGAGTGATGCCAAGTATAAAGGTAAAGGTAAAGGCCCTCCCGTTGATCGTCGATTTGCTCGAGCGGGCCCAGTAACGTCTCCATTGGAGACTTTGTTGTTACTGTGTCTGGCATATCGAATACTCTCGGTAGCTTGCCGGGCTCTCCGAGAGGGGCGGAGGAATCGAACTCGGGTCGGCCATGTTGGCCGCTTGTAAGGCGAACGCCCTACCGCTGTGCAAGTATAGAGCCAGGAATAGCCACCCAACCCGGCATCCCCCAACCCCCACCCCAGCACTGCTGGTTGTATCTCATATCTCCTCTCTTAGAACAAAACAAAACAAAACAAGGCCAGAAAGAGGAACCAAGGATGTGGACTCGGTGATAAAGCGCATGTTCCCACTTTATAGGGGGAGTGGGTGGGGAAAATTAAATATCATTAGTGATGTAAATTTGTCCATTTTCTATGGAGATTTGTCAGAAAATTAAAAATAGAATGATCATATATTCTATCAATTTTATTCCCTGTTATCTATCCAGAGTACACAAAAACTAATTTTAGAAGATTCATGTACACTTATGTATTGCTATTTATAATAGCCAATATTTTAAAATAACCCAAAGTGCCCAAACAATAGCTGAATGGATAAAGAAAACGTGGTAAATATACACAATGGAATACTACTCAGCTGTAAGAAAAGATGAAATCTTTTTTTGTTTGTTTGTTTTTTTGTTTTTCAATTTTTTTTTTTATTATTAGTGAAACACCATGAGGTACAGTTGTAGATTTACAAATTTTTGTGCTTAGATCTTGGTCATACCACGATCAAATACCCATCCCTCCACCAGTGCCCATTTTCCACCACCAGGATAATATCCCTCCCCCCCATCCCCCCCATCCCCCCATCCCCCCCTGCCACTGTGGCAGGGCATTCCCTTTTGTTCTTTCTCTCCTTTTGGGTGTTGTGATCAGCAAAAGAGGCATTGAGTAGCGAGCATGTTCAGTCCAGTCTACTTTCAACCTGCATCTCCCCTCCTGGGAGGATCCTCCAAACACCCTCCATTTGGTGTTCCCTTTTCTATCTGAATTGTCCTTTCCCCTAGAATACCCGACTGGCCTCTAAGCTATGGAGTAATCCTCCTGGTGTTGATCTCAGCTATTCTTGGGTATTAATCTCATATTTTGTTATTTTATATCCCCCAGATGAATGCAATCTTTCTATGTCTATCCCTCTCTTTCTGACTCATTTCGCTTAGCATGATACTTTCCATATTGTACCACTTGTATGTAAAGTTCATGACTTCAAGGAAAAGATGAAATCTTTACTCTTGCTACAACACGGATGGAACTGGAGGAGTAGGG